TCTCATTCTTAAACGCTGGATTGGGCCGAAAACCTGATCCGGGGTGTTTTGGTAAGCTTGCGGGGGTAGATGGACATTTTGAGGAGCTGGGTACTGAGAATATGATGTGCGACTTTGGGATTTCTGTGGAGAGAAGTGGCGTCGGGGAGGGTCATCTAATGTACAAGGATAACCACAGGGACGATGTCGAGGCTGGAAGTGTTAATCGGGAAAACCTATTGGATCGTCTTTTCTGTTCCTCTTCCTTCCAACCAAGCTTACTGGTACGTTCTGAATGGCTTCCGAACGACTCACGATTTTGCCTGACTTGATTCCTTCTTCCACTAGCTCCCCCATTTGTAACACATCATTGAAAGGCTTACCCAGGGCCGAGATCAAATGACTGTAGTAGGTGGGTCCCTGGGCCTGTAGAAAAAGCATAACCATTTCTTCTTCGCTGATCGGGGGACTGACTCGAGCAACTTGCTCCCTCCATCTGAGCCCAAACTCATTAAAGCTTTCCTCCGGCCTCTTTTCCATCTTAGATAGCGAGGTGCGGTCTGGGGTAACATTTGATTTGCATTGAAAGTATCGGACAAATTCTTGAGCCATATCACCCAATGTAAGCCACTCATCGACATTTTGACGACCATGAGTTAGGCTTTCACTGAAATATGCCATCATCACGTCATCTTTCTCTCCAACAATCCTCATTTCGTTGCAATAGACCCTCAGGCGGGCTACCGGATCTCCACGGATTTGTCGAATCCCCCATTGCGAAGGAAACTTAATAACTTGATGTAAAGTAGATGGTCCAACATCCATATCATGAATCCACAGCCTGCCAAGAATCATATTATAAGCCATGTCCGTATCTATCACCTGGAATTTCGTATCCTTGAGAACTCCTTCTGCAAATGTGGTAAGAACTATTTCCCCTTTTGTGACAATGCTTGAATTGTCAAATCTAGATAAGGTATGTTCTTTGGGCACCATCTTGTCATCAGCTTGCATCTCATTTACAACCGTCAAAAGAATAATATTTATGCAGCTACCTGGATCAATAAAAACTCGTTTCACATTAGTATCATGTACAAGTAAAGATATTACCAACGCATCGTTGTGAAGGATTATCACGCCATCTGCATCTGCATCATCAGACATTATACTGTTTCCTCCAAAACATGGCAAACTCGCTTCCCATGGGTAACTGTGACTTTTGATGTCTTTTTTGCAGCCGTATACGTCACACCGTTGACCTCTTCTCCCCCGTTTATCATGTTAATCGTTCTTTTTGGTGGCGGAGGTTTTGGAGGCTCTTGTCTATTCGTCATATATGATTGCTTACCTTTCTCACTGAACAAGTCAGTTAAATAACCTTGTTTTAACAAATGCTCTACTTCACCTTGTAAAAATCTGCAATATGATGTTTTATGGCCATGGTCATTATGAAACTCGCACCAGAAATCT